GTGTATATACACCATTATCCGAGCCTCCGGCCACCCCTAATGCGCCTAACAATTCGAGAGGGTTCAAACCCCCGACTTGAGAAGTCTTATACCGTGGATGCCAACGAACAAGCCGGGGCACGTGGCACAACGTAGGTTATATATCGATCTATCTATCTATTTATATATATACGTGTGTGTGTGTGTGTGTGTGTGTGTGTGTGTGTGTGTGTGTGTGTGTGTGTGTGTGTGTGAGACACCATTAATTTTTAATTGCATAACAGCTGAATTTAGGTTGGCCAACAGATTTTTGAAAGTCCTTAAAAAAGTTATTTAGGATCAATTGAGCATCTATCATAATTACTAATGTGAGATATCAACAACATTATATTAGTCATATTTTTTAGGCTGTGTTATAATTAGGAGAACATAAGTTCTAATAGCCTTATGAATGGGCTTACTAGTAGGGCTGCAAACGAAGTGTTTGATGAGCTACTCATCGCTTGGGCCGATAAGAGCTTGTTAATATTCATTTCATTAACTATTTGAACATGTTTGAATGCTTTTATAAATAAGTGGTAGTTATGAATAAACGTAAACAACTATTTGTTTGATTCATTTATGTTCATGAACAATACTATTTAAAAACTGCAAACAAGCTCATAAGAAAGCTCAATAAATAATTTCATTTAAATTCATGAACAAGCTTTGAATAAGCTCGAGTTAAAGCTCAAGAATAAGCTTAGTTAAGCTCAATTTAAAGCTCTTGAATAAATTAAATTAAAACTCAATTAAAAACTTAATTAAATTAAATTATTAATTATTAATTCATAAGATAAGATAAATATTTGTTTGATTAGTTTTTCATTTGTGTGTATGATCGTTCTAGTGGTTTATTTAGTAGCTCGTTCATCTATAGACTCATTTGTTTCTCTAAGTTCAATAAGTAGTTAGTTTATAATTCGATAAGACTCGTTTGATTAAAAAATAAGTAGCTTAATAATATAACTCATTAATTTGTTTGATAAGGCTTATCTAGTTAAAAACAAATAGATTGGTAGTACTACTCACTAATTTACTTGAAAAAACTCATTTGGTTAGAATCAAATAACTCGATAACATTCATTTTACTTTGATAAACAAGCTCTTTGATAATGGCTTGATTAGCATCACATGAACAAAATACAAATCGAACTCAAATTGAGCTTGAATAGTCATAGAAGCTCAATTCAAGCTCAAGCTCAATTTTTATAAAAATAAGCTCAAGCTTGAAGCACAGTTCTGCTTGGCTGGGCTCAGTTTTTTTGCCGATCTACTAGTCATCTTCATAAGATTATGAAGAAGAATAGTTACAATATTAATGTGTTGAGTCAATTTGTGAACTTTTACTTGATCTATATATTTGCAGGTGTTTCTTTGATAACTTGATCATTATTTCAGAGATTTTGCATGCAGTGAGATATCGAGATTAGAGCCTGCAAATCTTAAAATCGTTAGGTCTTGTAAACTTTGATCAGGCTCTTTCAAGTTGTTTTAATTTTGCTTTTATAAAGATATTCTCTATGTTTGAAATAGGATGGAATGCACAAAATTTCATCATTTTTATCTTCGTTTTCAGGGTTAATTTGATTGACTGATTTATGTATCAAGAGACCACAAACTTCTAAATCATCTAAATTGCTTGGGCTATGGTAGCATGGATCTAAAATTTAGTTTTCTTTGTCACCCTTATCCAGTATTGGCAACACTTAGATGTCTTTGAAGAAATGGAATAAGAATGTCTAAGGTATGCAACAAAGTCTTGTAAAATTGCTGAGAAAGACATAATATCAAAATTCCTTCTTATCCTAAATTAAAAAGTTGATAAAGTCAGTAGGATATTTAGGATAACCAAAATCACAAGAAAAAATGGTTCTAAATTCAATCCTATTGGTTCTCAAACATTCCTACAATCTTTTCTAAAATGACTAAATATATAAACAATGCAATTAAAATTTTTCACTGGTTAAGAATTTTAAGACATGATCTAGAGAAGAAGAATTGACAATGCTAAGAAAATGATAGACTAAACATCTTGAATTTGTAGTAAATTACAAACAAAACATGCTCAATATACATCTTATTTTAAAGAAAACACAATTATAATATAAAATCATCATACCAGCTTTCTATACCATCAAAATTTTTTCCCTTTGTTCTTAAAAAATAAAAATCACGCATCAGTCCAATGTGAAATTTATCCACAAGTCAAACAAGCAAGAAACATGAATCCAGACTTTTCATATTAAGTATCTCAAGGTATTGCTGTTGTTCATATTGATATTTAGAGAGCATATCAAGCACAAATATCTCAACATTTCGGAGTTTCATATTATTTGTTAATAATCACAAAAAATGAAAAGATAACTTACTAACATGTCATAATTTTAAAATATTCCATCATTCCATATAAACCTAGTTTAGAACCCAAAAACAAGCCTTCAGGACTAACAATGGAAGATAATACTTTGACTCTATTATTGGGAGCTTTCTATTTCAACAAGGAGATTGTTCACTAACATTGATGTATTAATATTTATCAAAGAACAAAAAGGCAACTTTTGTAAAGTTACTAAACCTAGTATGATTATAAGTAATAATCCAAAGTAATATTGGGGGAGATTATCTTTACCTTTCCATATCTCATTAATATATGCTATCAAGAATTCTAAAATTTAAAGACCTCATCACATTCATAACAAAACCTCCCCCATAAGAAAATTCATCTCCACGATTTTATCAAAATCTTTATTTGTTCCGTTTTACTCACATTACTCGTAAAAAGGAAAAGCCCCAGAGTTATAAAATATGTTTTTATTAGCTACTCTTCAAACGAACAATGATATAAATATTACTCCCTTAGTACTAAAAAAAAAAAAACACAATGCTAACATTCTCTAAAAATTATCCTTTTCCCCCAAAAATTACATTCAAAGGGAGAATCCCAACTCAATGAAAATGAATTTTGTATGAATATTTTATCTTATTTTATTTAAGCCTGAATATCTCCCTAACTAACACAAATTTCACTCCCCTAACCGCATTGAAAACTTCTACAAGATCACATAAAAAGAGACATACAAATGAATTGTCTATTCTATGTGTCTAGATAATTCAATTACAAGATAGATCAAAGAATTCCTACTAAGCTTAATCGAGGGCCTAAGCCAAGCTAGACTTTTTTACACAAGGTAACACTGATTCTAATCTTAACATGATAACTACCTATGGGAATGTTACAAGGACTTGCGCAAAATAATTGATTAGTGAGTAAATCCATGCAGCATAAATGTGCTATGTATATTAAAACTGAAATATGCTTTATAAAAGAGAGATGAAAAAAGAATTTGCACTCCATTCATAATCATAACTACGCAACGTGTAGATATTCTCACAAAAAATTTATTATGGACCAAATTTCAAAAATTAACAAGACAAATAGGAATGAATATTGTTCATTTATTCATTATAGGGAGTGTGTGAAAATAAACTATGCCTTAAAACATTCCTAAAATTGCCCCAGAAATCTGTTGGCAACTTCCCGACTGGCTAATGCCTATGCCAGCTGCCTGCCTAGCTCACGCCATAAATTCCTCCCAAGAAGTACATTTGTCAGTTCTTTGCCTGCTGCTCAGCCCATCATCCAACCGACTTCAAGTTTTCTGTAGCTATTCTGCCTCCTCTCCCCTTCCTTACTCTCATAGCTAACTCATTAATCCATAGGATCACTGTTGTCACATTACCAGTTCATGGATTGGCCTATCATAATTAGTAATGTATTTATTTTTTTAATTATTGATATTGTATATTTCTTAATAGGAGCTATCCTAGCTTTGTATAAAATCATTTTATAAAAAAAACACAATAAATTATCTCAATTTGAGGTGCAAGAAAAAAGATTTGCAGCATATGCCTCACATGGAACAATTCAGGGATACATCTTAGTTAAGCGAAGTGAGAATTAAGGCTCCTTTGATGCGGTACAACCTCAATTTGACAAGATACTAATATTATTTATTTTTTGTTTACAAGCCTAGTTGCCTTTATAATTTAAACCAAAACCTATTTCATTAAAGAAAAAAAAAACACTAAAGCCATGAGTCCCCTGAATGCAAATCTCACACACAAAAGGATGATAGCCAAATCCTATAAAAAATCCTGCACACATGAGGCCACTGTAATTATAATTTGATAATCTCACGTTATAAACTTAATATTTTCGATTTTGTCACCGTGGCAACTATTGAGCCACCACCATTACCCTTAATGCCACTATTGTGGCGCCATCACTACCATTAACGCCAATCCTTAGTATTCACCATTGCGCCAATCCTTAGTATTCAGCATTGCCATGCTACCAACAACCCTAACATATTGCACGACTCTTTAATTTCTTCTCATCTCTTATTTCTTTCTTATTTACTGAT